ATGATTTAACTGTAAAAGAGAAAACTATACATTCTCTTCAAATACGCCTTTCAATTATTGTTTACCGTTTATGTACGCAACCAAGTACTTATGTGAAACAATATTTTAATTAGTAATTGTTTTGAAAGAATACAGTTTTGATCGAACTAGGGATAAAATCATGTTATTATTTTTTTTAATATTATAAATGCGAAAGTTTAGATGGATGGATGTTTGTTAAAATTTGCAGCCTAAACATCTGAACAGATCTCAATCAAATTTGGCATAGACATAGAGTACAGTCTGGAAGAACACACAAGCTACTAAGTTTTTTTTTTAATTCCACGCCGACTGAGTCGTGTGCGAAATCTAGTGTTAATATAATAATTAAAGTTGCTTCGGCAACTGGCCAGTGTGTTTGGTCATCAAGATCACTTGAATACTGTATTTTGTATTACAATATTATTGTCTAACTATTGGTCGCGAGTCGTCGCGATTACGCCCTCTTGAAATTAAAAAAAATATTAAGAAATAGCCATGTTACTCACTGATAACGTTGTTTTATAATAGTGAAAAAAAATTTAAATCAGCCTAGTAGAGTTTTAGTTTAGTTCGTACAAAAAATACAAATCTTTCCTCTTTATAATGTTAGTATAGATTGTAGTAATTAAAAATATTACAATAATTCAGATAAATACATACAAGTTATTATAAAAATCAATACCTATCGTTTGTTATTTGGAATGTTCAAATGCGCTTTAATAAAATCGACAGGGTCTTTTTTCGCATGTCGAAGAGTAAATAAAACCGTCCCCTAAAATCAACTTCAAGGGTTGAATAAGTCGGATACCACTGCCCCCTACACAAGATAATCTCGTCTCGGAACATTAATGTTAATTGGGATTTGGACAATACGAGCGGGCGCACTATTTGACTAAACTATCGCACAACTGTGTCGATTGTTTCGTAGCCTATTGAACTGTTTAGTTGCACAAGTAAAAATCGAGTAGTGTGCGCATCTCCATATAAGGTCATAGGAATAAAAGCGGGACTAAACAGTTTGGAGATAGTTTAATCAAAGTTGGAATAAAAAAGTAAAATATACAGAGACTTGTTATAAATAAGAAAGGAAGTATAAATAAAAGGTAGTATAAAATATAATTCAATACAGGCGAAATAAAAACATTATTATGATGCAAATTCAGTTTAAAAAGGGGCGTGAAAAAGCAAACACTACTCACTTATTCTAATAACTTAAATAATCAAAAACAAACGTAAGTTATGTAAGTATTGTGTTTTACTACCAATAAATTTTTCTTTTATGTTAAGTAATGCCGTCACATAATTGTATAACAACAAATATTAGACTTTACTTAAATACTGACGTTACCGACGTTACCGAGTTTCTCGACTAAGTCATTCATTTCCTTGAACGTATACTTACATATGTATTACATGCGTATTTCCTATCTGAAGTGTAATGTAGTGAATATGTAGTGTATACTATTAGACCATTTGTAGTTATAGTGTCGCGTCTACAAAATCTCTTTGTCCCGCGGATTGTAAAAGCGGGCGCACACATTTGACTACTATCGCACTCCTGTTGTGCGATTGTCGATTGTTTTGCAGCCAATTCAACTATTGTACAACTAAAAATCGAGTAGTGTTCTCTCCATATAAATTCATAGGAATCTAAGATTAAAGCAGTTTTGAAATAGTTATAAGTAATGGTTAAAATAAAAAATAGTACACCCGCCATATTGACGTCAATAAGGCTTACAATACATATATATACTTATTACAATACAATATAACTTAATTTCGCTGTAATTTCGTTCTAGAGAAGGTACTATTTTTTTTTGAGCGGGGTGATAAATAGTATAATTTAGGTACATTTTTTTAGTAAGTAGTATAATTTAATTCGCTATGGCACACCCGCCATTTTGACTCTCACTTCAGTTACAGGTCAGCGCACGCTTGAGAAGTTAAATAACGCTACAGACGCCCAAAATTTACGGTTTTAACTGGACATTTTGATTTATTAAGTCACGAGTATATTTCTATTATGTTTTTGTAAAATTTGAACTGGCAACTCAATATTAAATGCGGTAAACATAACATATCCGCGGAATGTTTATTCGAACGTCGTCTTTACGTCCTAATGACAGACAATGAGGCATTCATTACGCCGACAATCGAGCGAACCTTTTATCGTTAAACGCATTAAATGAGCGGAATTATCCTTTAGTCATTGATCAAATATGTATTATTAAAGTGCCGTGTTTGCGGTATGATGTTTATATTCGATACACTTTGGATTTATAAGCGATAATGTCTGTCATTTCGTGATGCAGGTAGATATTGTAGTCTCAAACACACATTGCACTACGTAATCTATTCTGCAACAAATATCGTAGACATAATAATACTTCGTATTAGAATACTTCATCTTTGGATGGATATATGTTTACTACGTGTATACAGCGGCTGAACGATCTCGATATTTAACATAGATATAGAACATAGTTTGAAAGAACACAAGGTTCTTACTAACTTTTTTTATTAACTTCACGCGAACAAAGTTGCGGGCGACAACGATTTCAAAAAACATTAAAAGATGTACTCTTGTCTATTAAAATTCAAATTTAAAATAATGAAATTTACTTTAAATTTATTAAATAAGAAAACTTTAAAAGATTAATACAAAGTTGTACGCCTTTAATATTTGTAGTTAATCAAATTGCTGGAAAATTATACCTTTACTAGTTTCTGCTCACGACTTCGCCCTCGTGAAATTAAATAATATGGACTATGTTACTCACAGATAAATTGCCTTTTTAACGGTGAAAGTATTTTTCAAATCGGCTCACTAGTTTTCGATGTATTTCAAACAAACACAAATCTATTTATAATATCAGTACCGATACCAAGCAATTAATCAAAATATTACTAAAGTAAATTCTTAGCATTAGAAAAACAAATAAAACAACGAGAGATTTAACACAATTTAATGTTTCGTTTTAAACGTATTCCCTCGAACATCCTCCCATGTCTTCTAAAACACCATTTACAAAGATAATTTAAGTGTTTTCAAAATAATTTTAATATCATTTATGGTCACAAACCGTGTTTATGACGTAATAAAACACACGTCTTTGGCCACCAGTTTTATGACGGTATTCCGTCGTGACCATCGCACTATTAGAATTGTAAAGTCCCGTAAAATGTTAACAAAATAGACAATATAATAGTTAATTTTAATGGAATTATTTAAATACTTTAGTTATTGTCGTTTAAAACTAGTAATTGTTAAGATATTACTATGAATAAGTTTTGGTTAAGTATTATGATCATATCGTAAGTCCTTCAATTAGCTTTTTCTATTTATACTGGTATCTATATTACAAAATAAAAAAATGTAGCTATTATCTTATGTATTTTATTAACTGCTATCATTATCACCCCTTTGAAGAATTGAGACAGTATGTGCTGCTGTTACATACATTTCTATCAGTCATGATATCTCAATCCACTCCTTTCTTAAGCGTATCCTATTTTACAAAATATATCATATTTTCGATACCTTTACACCCACATTCAATTTTAATTCTTTCTTGTTTATATTTGTTTGTGTTTCTTATTCTAGCTTTTGCCCGCGACTCTGTCCGCGTGCAATTAAAAAAAAAGTAAGTAGCTTATGTGTTCTTTCAGACTATGTTTTACATCAATGCCAAGTTTCATTCAGATCCGTTCAACTGTTTAGGCTACAAATTCTAACAAATATCCATCTAAACTTTCGCATTTATAATCTTAGTATGATTTTCTTGTATATTAACCTAATTTAAAAATAGATGAAGATAAAATACAAATCATATTATAATAGAGACAAGTGTTGTTGGAGTGTCGCCGCGTGCTGCGGAGATCAAAGGCGACGACGATGTCATATTTACATGGAAATACCTGACTACGCATAAATAGCGGCTTCTTGTACAAAGTCAATAAATTGTGAACATATTTTCCTTACTGTGTTTTGACTGCCGAAGTGATGTTATGAAAAATATACTCATCTCTTTCATTAGCTTTGTAAAAACAGAGACAGATGTCTTTGAATTGCGAATGTCATACTGTTTCTTACATCCCGTTAAGTTTACAATAATACACTGGATTTTGATATTTTCCACAAATTATTAAATATATAAGAAAATAGATCAGGTAAGTTTTCCCTTTTGAATTAATGGGAACAACGAATTAAGATTAAAAATTGTCAAAAGAACTTTCAGTTATAATTCAGCTTAAAGCTCTCAAACATTTCTTTACAAAAGACTTAAACGAATATTTTTTTCTCTACAATTCTTAAAAGGTTTAATTATTGCCAAAAGAATAAATAAGCTAAATCATTCAGTACTATAATAAACAGAGATTTAAAAAAATCTCTGTATTTTTCAAATCTCTGGATTATTCGGTGGTCTTTAATTAAAAAAAAAAACTTAAATAAAAAGTTTACAAGTATCTATTAGAGTATTTAGTATTTGGTTCATGACATCGATCACTATTACTCTACAAGTGATTGTAGTTGGGCATACTCCCTACAGAAGGGTTGCGACCCTTGGCCTTTGTAATGCGGATAATCGATGTGGTCCATTCTCAATCATTTAATTGTTTTCTATTGTTACAAAATGTTTTATTTCGGATTTAACAGTTGGTTTTGTATCACTGAATTTTAAAAAACTATGCACTTATTACTAGACTCGTCACATTTTATAGAGCGATGTCCTAGAATTGTCCATTTTACTTAAGGTACGTTCGAATCTCTCTTAGTTGTATATTCTAATATTTCCTCTCATAGAGTCTCTTTCAAATGTTATGATCTAATGTAACAGGGTTATTTTTTATTCTTTTACATGCCACAATAGCAATTTTTATATCCCCGCAAAACTAAAAGACCCATAACAACGGGATATCGTTTCCCATGGTCGGGAATAAAACGCGTGGGGCGGCGTTTTATATAGACGGGGAGTGCGTCCACCGTGCTAGTGCCACTGTCAGACGAGACCGCTGTGGGTGCACACGCGGCATTTCTCCAGCAGTGCTCCATCCGGAGGGAGAAATGATCGCGTAAACAAGGATAATGAGCGAGTAGGTGTGGCCGTCGGAAGGCGTCCTCACGCCCCTCTAACGTTTTTTCCCAGACGCGTGGGCGGCGCGGAGAGTACGCCTTGCAACCCACGCGCTCGCACGCCGCCGCCGCACGCCGCCGTCGCCCGACCAAAGGCACACGGAACGTAAACAAACAGATCGATCATTGATGGCACATGCCACGACACCACACCGGATTCGCACTCGAAACGCACGCGACAACCACCAATACGCGAACTCCCACATTAACAGTGCGATTTTAATCGAATTTAATCACACGTCAAAACTAACATATAGTTAAGTATAGTTCATGAACTATTTTAGAAGTTCAATTGTTTTACAAAGTTCGATCTCCATTGTGATAAACTGTGCGAATTAGTTTACAAAAAAGTTTGAAGAAGCCGAAAGATGAGATCCCGAAATAAGGATCTAGTGTTGCCAACATGAAATTTCAATTTACCACTGGTGAAGATTGCAGGATGTTTCTGAAGTCTTCGATCACTATAGTTTTTTCACTCATACTCCTGTCTAACATGGCGAGGTAAGTAGTCACTTCTTATGTTATGTTTGTAAAATTTATCTTGAATTAAGACATTTGTGATGCAAATCTATGATTAGGACGTATTCGTATTGTGATAAATTCACGTTAATCAAATTTAGCTCGTAAAATGAACGAATTTCGGTTTAAAATTGCCTTTCCGTTTGAACGACTAATCGAGTCACGAACAATAAGCCAACAAGCACCCGACATAGGGGCGTCGCGTCGCAATGAATACGAAAGGAAAACACAACACTAATCATGCAAAACGCGCCTAAGTAGACAACGACGGGCTGAACTAATGAATAATGATATGGCAATGAATAATGAATGATAATGAATGCAAATTTAAAAGGTGACAATCATTTGTCGGCCCACCCAATAGCGCGAAGATTTACAGAGTATGCTAATGTGAGTCGATATGCCACTGCACGTGGCTGCATAATCGGCGGGCTGTTTGCCGCGATTGATATTCCTATTCGCTAAGTTGCGAGCCTTAACGCACTGGAATAGACCTAGCATTTAAATAGTCGCCTTGCCTCTACGAATAAATCCCTCCACACCTAATATGTGACCGTTTCGATTGAATCATTATATTTATAGCGACCTCACCTGTTACGAATGGCGGAATAAGTAACTTTCAATAAATAATTTATAAGATATTTTATATGTTAAATCGGTTATAAATTTTATTACCACCTTCGGTCACACACTGTTGCGACAAAATTAAAATAATTTGAAAGGTAAAGTTTGTTACTTCATTATATGTTAAATTGAAGAAATAATGAAAACGTTATATTATATTTAACATTTACTTGATGGCTTTAATAGAAATTTATTGCTGAAATTCGAAAACAAAATAATTTCTCAAATCATAATATACAAAACAAAATATAACACAGGAGAACATTTACATTTCAAAGACATTTTATGATGGTTTGTTCTGTAACGACAATATTAAAAGAAAAAAATATTTTTGACTCTACCACATCTAGTATTTATAATAACTTAGTAACTTAATATGCATATAAGTATCAAACAAGTTCGAATACGGCGCAAATCATTCGAGTATATTAAAACATTACTTATGCTAAATTTATCTCAAAGTAAAATCTCTTTTGACAACGTCTCAATTAATTTAATATAGAACCTATCGAAGTATTCATGTCTATTTAGTTAAATATTTTTAAGTCTACATGATATCTTAATTATCTACTTAACATTTCTAATGTTAGATTTTTTATCTCTATTATTCAATATTTAATCAATCAAACAATTACAATTTAAAAACTTTACTTTAGAATATTCGGTTAAAATTTATTTTATCGATTATGTAGAGTTAATAATCTATTAGAATGGAAATAAAAAAAATATTTCCAAACAATGCTATGAGTCGGAAATTACTTTCTGATATAAGACCACCCAAGCACCGCCTACAATGACTTGTTACAATATTTTGAGTAGTAATTAGTTTGATCTTTCATTAAAAATAAAAATAAAACTCTATTAACAAACACCTTTTTTTATAACATAAGGTGGCAAACAAGCAAGCGGCCCCCTGAAATCGCCAAAATGGCGAAGCGACCGCTGTCCATAGACATCCGCAATTGCAGATGCGTTGCCTACCCTTATACGACGGAGGAGGAGACGCACATAAAGAGGATATTTCCCCTTCCTATGCATCTCCTCCACCGTCAAATCCACTTCCTCTTCCCAACCTCTCCTTATAAGAAAAGGGTGGTAAAGAGAAAGGGACTTAAATTAGGCCTCCGGCACCACACTCATCAGACGAAGCACGGCATTGGTTCCATTTAGTATTGTCTATTTTATTCATGTAGATATTAAATTCTATAATTTAATAGTGAAAGAGAAGGAATACAAAGAGCGGCTCAAAGCATAACAAAGAAATTTGGCAAAAATATATAACATAGTCCGGAAAAACACATTAGCTACTTAAGAAGTTTTTTTACTTGGGTCAAATGAAGATAGTTTTTAGTAAATCATTAGTTGAGTATTTTTCTAGAAAAAATTGCTTAAAGCGAGCATCTTCCCTTAACTAGTAATTGATATAAACAATGTACTAATTTAGTGCAATCTCGAGCGCTAATGGAAGAAGCTCCGAGCTGAGATAAGGTAACCTATTGCTATCAAAGCGATTTATAAACGATGACGCTTCGGTTCAAAATGTTTGCGTAATGTAACATTTGACTTCACTTTTAAACAATAAAATATTTTATGCCCTTTTTAGATTGTTATTTTAAAATAAAGAGCTAATAACGAATAGACAGGGCAATCTTGGTAAAAATAGAATTCAACTCTTATTTACAAGAGCCTACAGACTACAGACTTATGAGTTATTAGTCGAGAGCTTAATCTGTTTAAACATATATGGAGATGCTTGAAAAGATATTTAAATGTACGAGAGGAGATGAATTAAACAGCAGTGACGTTTCGACTGATTTAATAATGGACTGCCTACTTTATACAACATTTTTATAAAACTAAATCTTAATTTCTACATACCATACATCCCCCTTCTTTTAAACATATGTGTGCACTTGAATAAAAATTAATAAAAGAAAGCACAAAAGAGTAAGAGTTACAAATCGCTACCCATCCCCCACCATAAGTTAATTTAACAAACTATACAAATCTCCTTTTTTTTTTTATTTAATCTACATATTTATTTATATTTTTTAAGAAAACTACTAATAACACTTTATAGTTGTTAATACTTTATGTTTACATTATATTTAACAGCCTGACCAAATTATTGGACGAAAAGACTGCGGCAACTCTAAGTAGAAAGTGTGACTAAGATTTTAGTCACAGAAGTCTTTTAACCTATACTAATATAATAAAGACGAAAGATTTGTTTCTTTGTATGTATTAAATCCAGGTACAAACCACTGGGTTGATTTTAAAAATTTCACCATTAGAAAGGTAATTTATCTGTGAGTAACATTGTCTTTACTTTTTATTATTTTTTAATTTCGTGCAGGAAAAGTCGCGAGCAACAGCTAGGCACTAGTAAAAAAACAACTATTGCGTCACATGCATTTATTGCGTCAATTCTACAAAGAAACAAGTGAATGAGAATTTTTCACTCTCGCCATATTCAAAACAAACACGACTTTATCTGTAATGAACAACCAATGTCTTACGATTATTGCCTCCACAATAAACTAACCACATCCCACTATAAAGTTCACAGAAAAGAATTCTTCGTTAGCCGTGACTAGATAATAGGGTCGCAGGGAATTCTAGACTGTTTACTTTTTACCATCGGAATCGCGTCCTTATCGAGCTAACTAATTGCGTATATTGGTAACATTTTTAAACGTTACACCGTCCCACAAATCACAAGCGGTATCTCCTACTCTCTCCCTTTAGATTATAAGCAGAACAAATAGGTATTACGTACATGTACATTGTTGGTACACGGAATTTCAATCAGACTCCATCACACGTATCAAAAAAGACTTAACTACAATTCGTGCTATAACATTTTGAAATGTAACATAAATGTTTAAGGTCCATTTTCGTAAAGCATTAAATTCATTTAATTTGTTTAAAGCGGTGCTAGAGAAGAGAAAAGTATTTGCAGTATTGTCGGAACGCAGAGAGAACTCAAGTATCTGTAATTTGTATTGAAATAATTTTGTTGAATGAGTATCGTAGAATTTCATCGGCCCCGGGGACCGTCGACGGATTTATTATTTTTTTACTGGCAAGGTCTTAAAGCACGAAATTATTGTTTTTATCTCGTCATGAGGAATTTTCGATGCAATTATATTAAGCTTCGCTTGGATTTTTAATTGGATCAGTCGAGGTTTAACGACTCGTTGGAAAAAGCTGATGGCCCGACATTTGCTAATTCTTCCACTCGACGACATAGTCGTGCCTCCGTAATGGGCAATACGAAACATAACTATTATAATAAAGCCTCAAGTGTACACAAAAGGTTACAATACAAAAAGAGGGACGGTGTACAGTGGCAGTTTTAACGCTACCAGCGCCATTGACGAGATTTATAGAAATCTAGAATAAAAAAGGGGGTGCACTATGACAGCTTGCTTTTAAGATGGGAGGAGTTAACATGGTTACATGAAATTATGTAATCCACAGACCCACGGCCACACTGATAGTCCATTTAGAAATAGAGTAACTCCTAAATAAAATCTAGTTTTTACAGATAATTTTTTTTCCTTTTAAATGTAGGAAAGTAACGACACTAGAGGGACCCTGGACACTGAGATGCAAATAATGACGACACTCAACGCTAGTTATGTTACCGACAGATTATGAATTTAGTCAATTGACAATCAGACTATCAGTAAATTGTAAGCTGGACTTATAAACTTCTTTACAAGACTTTCGTACTCTTGTATCGATTACGAACTTAATAAATAATCTAAAGAATTAAATATCTTTTAACTTGAACTTTAACAACACTAGTAAAATATGAGTTTAATTGAATCTGACAGTTTTTATACTAACCAGAAATAACTCTTTGGTTAAATTATTCGTTCAATTATTAAATTGCTTATATAGTCAGATTTAATATAAACCAAGTGGACAATCGTTCGGTGACATTATATAATTCGTCTTCGGACGCACCCTTTGCCACGCCGGCATTCCACGACCGTGGGAACAGGTGGAGATAACTGACACAGTTATGTAAAGAAGGAAATCACTGTTTGACTTTTGTTACCATTCGTTTTGGTGTTCGGTAATGAAATACTAAATATAGCAACTTGTGAAAATGACTAGAAATATGGCATTGTTTATATAAAAATATATTTAGACATGTTTTAGCTATGTCGTTAGAAAACATTGTCGTGATTACAGTGATATTACAATTCATATAATATGGACTCTCTTGTAATACGGTTTAAGTGAAGATAGAAATAAATATTAGTTTTTTAAAAAGAATTATAACTTCATCTTAAATTTCACACTTAAGGGAAATTAAGCTTTTTAAACTCTGAACATTTTTCTTCAAATATACATTTTTAAACCTTAAAAAATCGTAAATTAATAAACTAATTTTTTATAGGTTAGATCCATATTATACCAACGATGTTCTTGACTGTTTCTTGACTTATACGTAAGTTGATAAGAAACTAGTTTTTCCAGGAAAACTTTACCGCACCCTAAGGTTTACTTTTCGTAAAGATTTGAGCTAAAATTAAACATTACTAAAGAAACAATACGTCATGATGAAGGTTTTAGTAATTACATACTGTATCTTACTAATATTATAAATACAAAAAATTCAAATGGATTTTGTTAGAGTTAACACTGAATGGATCTCACTGAAATATGTCTAGATGTAGCACAAAGCCTGGAAGAACACAAAGGCTACTAAATATTTTTTAATACCGCGCAGACGGAGTCGGGTGCGCAATCTAATGCTTTAATTAATGCACTTTAAAACTACTCCAATATTGTTATAATCTTGGCAAGACTCACCCTTTTATCTTCCCCACTTCCTTTGCTTTAAATGTCAAATTTTAAAGACAAACTAAGAGGTTATTTATAATATTTGGAGTACATTTTGGATATAAAATTCTGTCAACACTAAGACAAAACTGGTGTGATTCCATCCCAATCTTGATAGTAAACGTCTCGGTCCAATCTGATAGAGAAGCGTTAGCCGACGGTAGCTACGTGAGGCATCATAACTTGAAGTGTCACATCTGCGATTACATATAACACTTTACGTTGCTTTCGTTGACTTTATTATCACAAAAGTATAGACAAATACTCGTATATAAACATGAATTGTTCCAGACCTTTACATTCTGTTAATTTAATCGCTTTAAAAAATTCTTATAAAGAAAAATAGTTAATATATAACAACTAACATTTAGAGCGGGCACCTTTGTCTACACTATCGCATAACTGTTGTGCGATTGTCGATTGTTTTGCAGCCCATTCAATTGTTTATTTACACGACTAAAAATCGAGTAATGTGCGCACATCTAAGCTCATAAGAATCGAAGCGAGACTAAACAGTTGTATTATAGACTAGCTTTCGCCCGCGACACCGTCCGGAATTAAAAAAAAAAACAAAAGTGAGTAGCCTATGTGTTCTTCCAGACTATCCTACACATCTATACCAAATTTCATCGAAATCTGATCAACCGTTTAGGCTACAAACTCTAACAAACATCCATCCATCCATCTAAACTTTCGCATTTATAACATTAGTAAGATTAGACAAAGGTGTGCGCTTTAATATAGATAAACGTAACCCTCAGACACACAAATAATAAGTACAAATATTCAAATATCTGTCATAATTAATGTCCAAATCTATATTAGAAAAAGAGTCCATTTAAAGTGATACGGAATAGCCAATTAACAAGATTAAACACATATTAATAATTTAATTGAGATATCATCTGCAACATTTAACATTTAAAAGACATAAAGTAGTATTTATAAACAAAAATTGACCTCTACCACGTTCAGATTTGCGTGTGGGCTCGTTGTCATAACCGGAATATCTAAAGTATCCAGGATTAACCTTTCCACAGATTTATTAATTAAAATCATAAAATAAGCTCATTAGTTCCATCGTTCGGATGTTTTAAAAATATTCCCCGATGCTAAGGAGCTGTTTAACAAATTGTTTCATTAATAAACAATTCGAAACTCGCGACGATAGCATCTGTATTCTGAATAAATTAATTATAATGACGTTAATTACATACATAAGCAGCTACCAATTAGTGGTGATATTTTTTTTAGAAAAACGTGTAAATTATTAACCCAACAAACAGTCGACTTTAATGTATCTTTATTGTGTTTAAATTAATGTGGATTTATGATAAAACAAGACGTTGAATATCTCCTATTATACGATATTCGAAAATCATTAAACAAGCATAAAATTTGTGGATTTTTACTAACATCTAAAAACTCTCGCACACCTTTGACTAAACTATCGCACAACTATTTAGTTGCGCTTTGATTCTTATGAAAATGGTTGTGCGCACATTACTCGATTTTTAGTTGTGCAACTAAACAATTAAATCGGTTGAAAACAATAGACAATCGCACAACCATTGTGCGATAGTTTATTAAGGTATGCGCCCGCTCTAACTATTAGCAATTCTACTGTTAAATACTATACGGAAGAAAGAATAGTCTTTTTAACACAATAGCATTACAGCAGAATATCCGTCTTAGGATACCTAAAAAAATCTCTAAATTATACTATTTCGTTGAAGTAATCCAAATTAATAATAAAAAAAATTACAGAATACGCATCAGAAATTGCAATAATAGTAAATAAATTTTGTTCCATTCCACAGTTCTCGGGACAATATCCTGCCGTCGCATTTCAAGTTGAACTCGGCACTAACGTGTCGTCTGGTCGGTGGACTGACCAGGGAACAGAGAGCCGTCTGCAACGAGGAACCTGATGCGGCCGCGATCGCTTTCGAGGGTCTTCAAATGGCGGTCAAGGAATGCCAGCACCAGTTCCGCTGGCATCGATGGAACTGCTCCAGTTTGATCCCTAAGAGCTCAAATCCTCACTCCAGTGCTATTATGAAGAGAGGTAGGAATTATCTTTAGATAGTATTGTTACTGTATTAGAAAAAAGCAACGGCCTCCATGAATGTTATAATAATGGACATTGGAGTTAATATTTAACTTCTTCAACTTTTATAGAAAAAAGCAAGTTAGAAAAAACATTTTTTATTGGCAATGCAAGTTGATAGCGTAGTATTTCACTTATTATGAATTTCTGCACTTAACAGTCAACCGTATCCACTTAAATGATTATTGTTACTTAGTACTTACTTGTGTTGAAGATTACGGTGTAGCTAGATAGAGATATTTATATTTAAGCTTGGTTTTAATTAAAATGGCTGTATTCTAGTAAAGTAACATTGTAATTACGGGCTCCGGAAAATAACAGTCAAAAAGTCTATAAAAATGTATGTTTATTTGTAAAACTCTGTCGCTAATGGAAGGTACACAATAACTCCTGCTTCAGTAAGCCGAGTGGGTGGCGGTGATCAATTTCGACGTAATGCCAAAACCGGTCGCACTGAAGTATATTCCGAATGAAAATTTTATTGAAATAAGCGCAACTAAACTGACGAAGCAATCGCGATCCGGACATTACAATCCGAATTTATTACGACGAAAAATTATCCACGCACATTAATATCAGAGACGAGCATTATCTCGACTGAGCGTTGTAAGTCTTTATGTCTATATCTCAGGGTGTGAAAGGCTTTGTCGACCTTATTTTTTCCACAATCATCGCACACGTTGACGTGGAAATTTACGAGCATGGAGTATGGGAGACAACAAATAATAAGAGTCTTCGGCCAGGTGTGGGCCCGCTCCCGCGCCGCGCGATTTCACGCTACGTGTGGGTCCGACCGGACCCCGCCCCCCGGACCCCCTTGCACCCAGCTCGCCCCTTCCCTCTTAGACCTCTTCCAATTAATATCTTCACTTGTATTGCTTTAACACGGAATTAACTTCGTATTTTGCATCTGTTGAAAATGTTTTAGTTTTTTTAAGTAAAAAATTCATTACCTATTTAAATTCTGGATTAGTAAAAATCAAGTTTCGAGTATTCGTGGGTGGTCTTATATTTTAAGATCTCCCAGATCAACACGTTGAATTTTTCAGTTTTAATTAAAGACAAAAAAAACTGACGTACAAGATAATGATAACAGACACTAAGGTGGAAGAACTTCGTGTGTGTGTCTTAATTAAGACATTACTAATTAGTAGAATAATTAGATTTAACGGAAGACGTCTATTTGACAATTTCCATTATTGAGATACCGTGCACTATTAGTATTAGTAAATCTCCGTGACGACACCTTCCGGCCCGTCAACGACACGATTCCGTTGAAATTGAAAAATTGTGAAAAAACAGCGTAACTAAACACTTAAACATCTTTCTTAACTCGCCCATTGTCGGAGTCCCGAATTGAAACGCCAGATAGAGAATGAAGGGCAAAAAGGCCGAAGAACAAATCGAGAGGCTTTTAAATAGGATAATAGCGATCGATGATCGAAGAAAGATAATAATCATTCGAGACCGTTGGCATTTTTTGTTCGACGTGTAGATACGTCGATGAAAGGATGCTGCGGACGGCCGGGGCGTCCCGGGCGGCTCGCGGGATTGGTTCCGCTTCCCTGAGATCCTCCACACGTTGTTAACGCTCTTGTCGTACGTGATGCTGGCACAATACACCACTGTCAACTATTTAATGACTTTTGTGTAGCTAATGAGGCCATTGTGGGGGGAATGTTTTCGCCTCGGGCGTTAATAGCGGCCGATGGGACCGCGATTAGCTCGAGATCAGATGGAATATTGTTCGGTGACGGCATCACGTGAGAGAATGGCGCTCGCAGTCTTCGTGGCAGCTAGGGTGGCGAGTGGCGACCGCTCGCGATACAGATCTGACGCGCCGCGCACGTGACGTGAATCCTCAGAGCGATCGCGTCATAAAAAAGTGACATTTATTGGCATTTTATATCAACGACATGTCCGCGGGTGACGAGACAGCAACGACGAACTGCTTGTTTAACATGACGCAAAAAACACATGTGTTATTTTACTGTCTTATCAAGCAGGACTTGATCGTGGGAATTTAGCTGTAAAGTTGAGAAAACTTTATTACAAAAGACTATCTTAACATAGTCTTAGTAGTCACAAGATTACTAACTGCTGCAGACTTCTCAAGTGCCTCACATATCTAAGAATAGCAATTTTCAAAAGAAGTTAAACAAAAACAGAACGTGTCAAAATGTCTCAATGCTGAGATGTGGTGCGACCTTCTAATGGTCAAGATAACATCATCCTCGGTGCGTTACCGAATCGTGCTGCTTCAGATGCCTCTCAACTGTGAGAAAAAACACACAAAAGGCCCCATAAAAATATGAATTTGTCCAAAGTTCCCAGTTTCGGACGTGACATTGAGTGGCTTTTTTTTCTCTCGCCTCTTTGTTCCCTATCGGATTGTGACGGCCGCTTTTAAGGGTTAATTAAGTCAAGGAGGGTATTAGTGATGTTGCGGATTTTTGAAAACGTTTTTAATGGACTTAAAATGGTTCAGCATATTTGTTACGAATTCAATAGAATATTCAACAAAGTTACAATTTTGATCACTCCACAAGATTAAAATTTAAAAGAACATTCTTCTACAAAGTCAATTGCATCAATTGTAAATGGACTACTTCAACTGAATGGCCAATTTTCGTACTATCTGCCCCGCACAGCCGCGTTGTGGAACCAATACGACTTAGGGTCTTTCAAGAAGCGAACCTACAATTTCCTCAAAGGCCGGCAAAACATCTGTTCCTCTGGCGTTGCGGATGTCCATGGGCGACGTTGACCACCTCTGAGTTCCCGTAGCTCGTTGGCCACCTTCTCTCATAAAAAAAAAATAAGGGCAAGAGGTTGAGTTTATAAGTTTCAGTTTCGTCTATTTACTTCCTTACATCTGGCAATCCGACTTGACTTTCTGTATTCATTAGTACTGCTATTAAGAGAACCACTGGCTTCTTTTTGGCAGTGACGTATACGAGACTTCGTATTATAAAACGATCAATATAAGTGTTAAATTACGAGGGACTTTTCGTTTGACACGGGCGAGGTCGCTGTCGTCCGGTCTCGGTGATTAGCGATTCGCCACAGCCTTGACTCCAGACTATACTTAATTGCAACAAAACCCTCGCCCGCTGCTGCCGAATTCGTATAATCAACATTTTTGTGTTTTAATCGTTTTCGATAACATATGCTTATGAGTGTAGCTAGTCTTGATCTAGGGCAACCTTGCGTCCTTGATGTTGGCAGCAACTTGTTGTCTCTTTCCCACATTAGGGATTTTGACCAAAATGCTTACCCCCTTAGTTTAATGGCGTGAAATATATAGCCTAAAGCGTGACGTAAGTGTAGGACTTTTTATTAAAAAAAGAATTATTCAAAAATATGCTGTAGTTGCTAAAATTTTAGGCAACAAAGAAGTGTGCGTTTACGCTTTATTATAATAGTATAGAAGAAGAAAACAAAATTGAAAACACGTAGTCTCTGCTATTATACCTTTTAGTAATAAATGAGCTGTTTACGAAGAATCTCAGTATTATAAAAAGATGCGATTTCTTTCATTTTGGCACCACATTTAGCGTTTATCAACCTGTAAGTTTAACTAAAAACCATTTTAAAATGTCTTCGTAAATCACAAGGCGATGTGCAACGTACATGCGCAAGGTTGTAACACGCGATGGAAAAAGTCGACCACCGCTGGCTTTTTGGGAAAAACAGATCACGTATGCGCATTCGATTGAATAAAATGTCGCTGATGTTTTAAATAAAGAAACGGAGATGAAATAAAATGTTTATAAATGATAATTGAAAGTATTTTCTTATTGTGTATTGGTAGGATGTGAAATTTTTTGCGGCGCCAAGACGACTTACATGTCGAGATTGTGAGACAAATTGTAATTTCGAAAATTCTGATAATTTATAAAACTATAAATAAAAATCTTTAATAAATAGCTCATATATGTATAGCTGAAGAGTACTTCATCCACCAGAATCCAGTATGATTACGAAAGTTCCATATTTACGTACGTTCTGTTGTTAATAAACATGAGTTGAATTCGTCGCTAACGAAAACTTTTTTTAATCATTAATTATTCGACTACAAATACAAGGGCAATATTAGAATTGCATACGAGTGTCATTAATCAACGTACTCTTTCCTTGTGTAGAGAAAATAAACACTTTTGATGCATTATTGAAAGAAACGGGAATAAAAAGCGATGTCGCAAGTGTAAGAGAGGAATTTAAAATCTGTCATGCGTCCAAATCCAGAGCATTTCTTTGGAAGTGGTCGAAAAGAAATCGATACGATGGAATTTATTAATGTCGATTAGGGAATTCGGTACGACTTCACGATTTATCGATTTTCGACCTTAATACAATTGAATAAACAATAAGAAATAAATTATATAAAAAGTTTTTGTTATTGCGTAATTACTTAATACAGAGGTTAATTGCCTCTTGGACTATTAGAGCGTGCGCACACCTGAAACTAAACTATCGCACAACTGTTCTGTGATTTTCGACTTTGCAGCCAATTCAACTACATTTAGGTCATCAATATTTAATAGGCAATTGATACATTTTTCGTAGAGTAACAAAGGATCATGATTAGACTAGAATCGTAGTAACTACATATCCAGTAGTTGAGTATTAAAAAAGAACTATAGAGGTGGCATGTGGCAATTGCTCTAAAAGAATCACCTCTAACTTACTTTCTTTCACTAAAATACGATCAAGAATAATTCAATCGTATATAAATAAGACGCCTCTGGTCATATAGAAAAGCCTGAAATGTAACAATGAAAAAAAGAGTAAAAATCACATAAGCAAACAAACCTTTATAACCACCGTATAAATTCCAATATAACAGTAAAGCTACTCACTGGTCCGGGCGCCCATAACTCGAAATCATCGAAATCGATCAACGGAGCGTGCTATAAATCGAGACGTATCGATTCTATCGCGTCTCGTCGAATCGAATAATATAAATTTGTCACTGGCCACTCGGAAAAACCGCGTCGCGTTCGAGCTAACTTTATAAATAAACAATAACACGGATCACTTATATGGCGCTGTGCACCGTAACATTCGTCAACTGGCACTACACGATCTCGAAATTGTAATGTACATTATTATTTATACTTCACGACATTGCAAGCGGAATAAATTCTAATTTGTAATATGTAGCAGTTTGTTTTCATTTTAAAATTATTTTACAATAGTTAACTAGTTTTACCTGACTGACAAGAGTGAAAATTTCACGAGGATTAGTACGTTTTAATACATGCAGGTCCTATGAAGATTAGGACAATCTAAGACAGTCCTTGAGTTGACTTTGACGAATGAGGTCTGACGATTAATGTTTTTCAGTAAACAAGTAGGTATAATTACCGATATTTCGTAATACAATTACATGTTACGTATTAAGGTAATATAGTGTTCAAAATAACCTTTAAAACCGATTATATTTTTAATATCGTGATGTATAAAAAGCAAAGGTTTTATTAATTCATCTCGAGAAGCGATCATTGGACGAGATAATGCTTGATTTATAATGATTACCATTTTATTTATAGATGAATCATACTAAATCATGTCTTCAGTTTTTGTATGTGCTGTTTCTCGACCTAGAACCATGACAGTGATCAGCTATGTTGAAAATTAACCTTTTTGCTACATTACTCATTTATCACGCATTTATTTCAATACCTCGTAATTGTTACGCGGAATCCGGAATCGTTGCACCGAATAAATCGCTAACGGAAATAAAAATATTTTTATGACTCAAACTCATTTAACTCAGTAGTTTTTTTTAATTCGCCGAGAAAACGAAGCGATCGCTGCCCTTATACATCCGCAAATACAGATGCGTTACCTACACTTAACCAACGGAGGAGATGCACATTGAGAGGATATTTCCCCTTCCTATGCGTCTTCTCCACCGTCAAATCCACTTTTCCTTCCCATATTTTCCGTATAAGAAATTGGTGAGAAAGGAAAGGGAATTAAATCAGGCCTCCGGCACCACAATCATCGGACAAATCCGGGATTGCTCCCACTTCACGGAATGTTTTCTGTGTAGTCGTGGTATTTCACCGAGCGAGGCGGCTCATTCGTGCGAAGATGTTAAAGCGGACTCTACCACTGTTAAAGTAGTGGAATAGTAATTTAATTGCGGTGATTCTTTGATATAAACCACACTTAATTTTGTGCCCTTAAAACGAAAAGAGTTGTATCTTATATCTGACCACCCTCCGATGAATAGACTAACATATTTTCTAGATGTCATAAAAGATCTTACTATTTTAGTTGGAATAAGAGCCTTTTTATTGAGGAATTTTAATTAACTACGGACACAAATCATAAGTTTCGTATATCGTAAAAAAAACATTAACTACAAGATGCCTAAGCTCGTGTCATTAAAGCGTATAAAATTGCAAATAACAATTTAGTTTATAAATGCAGAAATTAGTCAAGCATTATCAATATTGCTGTAACATTCCGCCGTTCAATTTATCTAGAGACGTCCAGCGCGGATGTGGGTAAGGAATAAAAATGCCATTACTCCAATGAGCCGTATCTCGAGCTTCAATTAGGCTGCCTTTACACGAGGAGCCAGTACTAATCCGTTGAGATAAGGCACTCCAAGCAACTCGATTTAATCACTTGATACCGAATCAATTTATTACATCCATCCAATAAATTTACTGTGCACTAATACGTATTGACATTGTTGAAATAATTTGCTAATAGAGCTTTGAGTGGTAATAATTTTACTCAAATACTTATTATTACATTAAAACTATGTTTATTATTGAAATAATAACAGACAAAAGTTAAAAATACTGCAATACTGCACAACTAGCTTTTGCTCGCGACATCGCCCGCGTAGAATGAAAAAGGAATAAAAACATAGCTTGCTACACCGATAACGTAGCTTTTTAATGTAAAAGATTTTTTGAAATAGGCCCAACAGTTTTTCAGTTATTTCAATACATACAAAAATACAAATCTTTCCTGTTTATAAAATTAGTATAGGCTAGCTGTTCCCGTACGGCTTCATCTGTTTAAAATTATAAATTAAAATTGCAAATGTTAATTACCGTTACCATAATAACTTTGCTTCCTTTATGTTGGCAGCTTGTAGTTTATGGTCCCTTTACCACATAAAATTTTTCTTTTGCAATTATTTTACCTCCTAAGTTTAATAGCGTAAAAATATAGTTTAAAGTCGTAAGTGTAGGGATTTTTATTCATCAACATCTCCCCTACCTTATCCTACTCTCGTAGGGTCGGCGGACAGGGTTTTCGTCCTCCAAAGCATTCTATCATCCGTCATCTCAGTCATCACTCTCTTCTTGATCATGTCACCTTTCACGCAATCCATCCATCTCTTTCTAGGTCTACCTCTACCGATGTACCCCTCCACATTCATAACTAACATCCTTCTTGTTACATGCGATTCATCCCTTCTCATAACATGCCCATACCACTCTAACCTTTTACTCCTTATTTTCTCAACCACTGGGGCTACTCTCAAACTTCCTCTAATATACTTATTTTTATTAAAGAAATAATTAGTCAAAATATACTGTGATTGCTGACATCTTACGCCACGAAGTAGTGTGTTTACGCTTTATTATATTAGTATAGATATAGATTATATACGTTATGAATAATTAGCACAATAAATAACACAATATTAAACACTATAGAAGGATACTCAAACCGACTGTAGTTTGTAATTGCGGTAGCGTAATAGCCTATTAAAGAGATAGCTTTTAAAATCCATGTAATCGTTCAGAATGTTCCATTCAGGGTAACATATTTAAATTGTTAGAATAGCGCATTATTAACCTAAGGATTTAATAGCGAACACAATTAACTAAGCCCTCGAGCGTTGTACCAACTCAAATGCAAATACCCTATCACACTGTATAAGGCAATAAGATTACATTGTGCGTTTCCAATAGCTTATCTCTGCATCTTAGTTCCAGCGTTTAATTTATAGAAATTATATAGATAAATTGCTATCAAAAACGTTCCGCGTTCATTCAAACGTATACGTGGAATGTTAGACTGATATGATTATCAGAATAGAATCGTTACAGAATAAGTATGAAAATTCGTTTTCTTTGACTGAATACAAGTTAGCTGTTGCTCGCGACTGCTGTTTGAAATTATAAAAGCCTATGTTATTCACAGATGTACCTTTCTAATGGTGAAAGAATTTATAAAATCGATCCAGTAGTTTTTGAGTTATTACAATACATACAAAAATATAAATCTTTCCTCTTTATAATAATTCAGAATCAATATTCTGAATTATTTTAACGCAAGACTAGCTGTTCCCATAAGACAAATCATTCATTGAAAGCTATTGTTTATTTTAAGTCTAGAAATAAGTAAGTTTTAAAAGCTCTTCAACTGTGCTTGGTTAATTAAATAAAATCCACAAAGTAGAAAAACCATTAAGTAATTATTTAATATATTAAAATACTTTACTAAAATCTTAATACAACATGTTAAAACAAAAGATCAGTAAAAAAAGAAGAATGAAGCTTAATCGATTGTATCTCGATGAAAGCTCGATTCGTATGATAAACATTTATTGAGCTATAAACTTTCAACTCCGCAACGGTATTACCACTACATTTATACTCCAGAACTTTATTACTCTGTATCCAGATGTTCAACTTTAATTTCTTCGTTTACTTATCATGTTCTTACCTGACTTAATGTTCGTAAGTTAAGCTCAATAATTATTAACTGTTTGTACTTTTATTGTTTACTAGTTTGAGCCCGTGACTCCGTCTGCTTGGTGTTAAAAAAAACCAGGTAGCCTATATGTTCTTCCAGACTATCCTCTACGTGTATGCCAAATTTCATTGACATCCGTTCAGCAGTTTAGGCTACAGACTCTAACAAACATCCATCTATCTAAACTTCCGCATATAATATTAATATGAATTTCGATTAAAAATTATTTAAAAATCAATTATTGCAATAATTTTACATCGTAACATTATTAATAACAAAAAAAACCTTTTAAGCAAGTATCGCAAATCGTGTAATTATGTATGTTGATAAGCCAAATTTAAATAAATAAATCCTTTAAAATCATTAGGATAGTCAAGTTATTTTCAAAACAATTAAAATAATTTTTTGATTTTCTTTTATGAAACTATTATTTCCCTTCAGGTTTTCGGGAATCGGCGTTCCTTTACGCCCTAACCTCAGCAGGAGTAGCTCACGCCATCGCCAGAGCGTGTGCCCAAGGTCGGCTTCTATCTTGTGGCTGTGATCCCCTCGGGTACCGCACTTCCCACGACTCCAGAGGAAGATCGAGAGCCAATAAATGGGAATGGAGCGGTTGTTCACACAACTTGGGATACGGGATAGAGTTTACAAAGAAGTTTCTAGACGTCAGAGAACAAGTGGACGATCTGCAGTCCAAGATAAATGTCCACAATAACAACGCAGGGAGAACGGTGAGTGGATAATTTTTCTTTAGTTCATAGAGTTCATACAACGTTCCGTACGTAAGAACGTAATGGTTAAAAAAAAAACATGATGCATTATTTTTTAATATAACTACTTCTTTCTTTCCTTGTACTTCAGGAAATCTTATTTTTATAATTTAAAATCTATACATGCATAGTTACAAATACTTTGTTGGACTTTTCGAATACTCTTTAAAAATTGTAAATTGCATCTTTAACTGTATACATATAATAAGTTCGAAAGTCAATAAGAAGAAGAATCACTCGAGAATTAGAACAACAAATTATAAGGGTGAATATCCACTAGCTTTGATCTACTAAAAAGGATAAAGGGGAAAACGCACTATCAAAAGACACTAACTTTGATGACTATCCAATTGACTTTATTAACAGGAGAGTGCATATATTTATAACAAGGGGTGTGTTGAAGATCTACCGACCGACACAAATGAATATTCTATGAGAAATAATAATTAAAAAAAACTGTAGGTCAATAAACCCTAACCCAACTTTGTGTTCACTAAATTCGACATCTAAATAAGCAATTCTCTTCAATACCAATTACGTAATATTAAGTAATAAGGATGAATACTTAAATATTCACAAACTTTTTAATTTTGCATAAATATAAAATGAGATAAAAGAATAATGTTATTTTTATTATTATAATGCAAATTCTTACACATACATTTATTATAATAACCAAAACTTTTCACGTGGCTATAAAAAAGCGTCGACCGAAAACAATATACCGAAAATATCGAGTCATAAAATTTTATTACCTTAAACATCTCTTGATAGTCTGTTAAAAATAATCACAAAAATTCAATGGCTTAATCAGACGTACCAAATTACAGGTTGAGTTGTTTTCCTTGACCATAAAACAATGTGACACGTAGTGTACCTCTATTTTGACGTAACGATCATTATTACCGCACGGCTGGTAACTGTCCAATTTAAACTGAAACTTTATATAGTACTGAATAAATTGAGATATCTAATTGGTAAGGGGTCAGGTAAGACTAGTTATTTTAAAGGTGAAATTATGTAGGTGCCCAAATGGATGACGGAGGCGTCAATGGAATGCAACATTTATTTAGTTCGAATTGAAGAGCGGTTTGTAGGCGGGGCCCTTTGTAATCACCAATATGGGTGGTCCGTTTGACCGTTACGAATATACATAATATAAAACAAGACGTAGGAAGCTGCCTACGTCATATAAATACAATCTCATATAGTTATATAACTTTGAAAGAATTAGATAAAGTGGAACGATTTTTCCTAACAAAATATCAACCTACATTATATTTAAGGACTTTATTACACTATCGCAAAATTCATTCAACATTTACGAGTAATCCCCTATAAGGTTTAGAACTTATTGGGCCTCAAAACTATAATTAACGTCAGCGTATCCAATGGGAAACCCTTCCCCGTTTTAAATTTTATAGCTGTCTACATAACGATGCAATTACAAGTAATGTAAGTGTCTGAGTCCTTTATTAAATAGTAAAGTTATGCAATTTTTGAGATCAGTTTTAAATCTATTCACTTATAACTGGGTCTTGGCTGATTTTCAATTCAATGCATCCTTTTGCCAAATATTCAGCATAAATAAAACTAAATGATCGAACTTGTTTGTGAGTAAAATATTTATATATTCATTTAGTTCTTTACTTTTCTTTGTAACAAACAATCGAATGGATAGTTACGAAAATATTAATTTATTTTCATTACAAATTAAACTTTGGAGCTTTGATTCGCATGATTAACTTGAAAATTCCAAAACGTATAATTTATTTACATAGGTAACATATAAAACTTTTAGTTAAAACACGTTTATAACTAAGCAATATCATAAAATTGTTTGGTGTAGTTTTTAACTCTCTCTTTATAGAGCATAACTTCTTCAAATAAAACTTGTCACAACGAAGTTGAAGGAAAACAATTAAATACATAACTAGCGATAAATATTAAACACCATAAACATTTATCATAACGAGAAACAAAGAGATCGTTACGCTTTTAAAATAAGTACAGAGTACTGGTTCGTGAGACGCGCCGCTCCTGTCATATAAACATATCAAAGCACTGATTTGTTATTGTCCAATAAGTATTCCGTACTGACACCGACAGACCAACCGACAGCCGAGCCAAAATACCGGACCTACCGTACTGGGATTACTTCTAATAATTTAATAGGCCTTCCGTCTAATAATAAACATGTCAGACCAAACTTAAATATAACAAAACTAATTTATACATGCTATTCATATTTAAAAGTTAAAGGAAAACAATCCTTATGTCGGTTGAGATAAGGTCTATCAAGTATATAATTAATAGTAAAGTTAAATTTGTTTAGAATAACATTAGTATCCGTTACCAAATCTGACAGTAACGCGGCATACCATGTCTCGCTTACTTAGTAGGATTTACGTTTAATACAATTTTATTTACGTCCATACATTTGTTCTTTTTATAATACAAACACGACGTGTAGCTAAATTTATTAATTTGTAATTCGTTTATATTTGTTAATTATATAGTAGAAGGTTAATTTAGTGTCTATCGACCGTTGGCATCGTTTATGATACACCTAAGTTTAATAACCCTTTCGATTAAGGATTCTGACTGTTTTTAAGTCAATAAATTATAGCGAACAAATCGAATGGTGTCAAATATAAACGCTGTATGTCAATAGTGGGTAAAGATGGGAACTTTTTGGGATTACGAGACAAAATAAGTTTTTGTAGTTGAAATATCGATTATGGAAATGACTTATTTATTATAACTTATAATATTACGAACTTTTGCCTAATTGTCTTCCCAACTTTATCCTACTCTAGAAGAGTGGCGCACCGGGATTTCGTCCTCCAAATAACTCTATCACCCGTCTTCTCAGTCACTCCCTTCTTGATGTCAACTTTTACTTGTTTGTTTAAAAAAAGATTATCAAATATTATGCATTAAATTTATAAATGTGCACATAGACTTGTTTGTACTAAAATGTTTCTAAACTTGTTTCAAATTAACGATAACCGCTAAACTTAAACATAATTTACTCTTGAATTAAATCTATACTAATATAATAAAGCGTAAACATACACTTCTTTGTTGCCTAAGATGTCAGCAATTACAGCATATTTTTGAATAATTATTTTTTTAATAAAAATCCCTACCCTTGCGACACGCTTTAGGCTATATATTTTAACGCCATTAAACATAGGGGGTAAATATTATGGATAAGAACCCTAATGTGGGAAAAATATCATAAGTTGCTGCTAACATCAAGGAAGCAAGGTTGTCATCATGTCATGTCATTTTGATAATTTGACAAATGTAAACAATAAAATAAAATTTTCATTAATCTCATGCAGATGAAGTCGCACGGGAACAGCTAGCAATATATACGGGTATTAAATAAACTAATATGTTGTAAATAAACAAGCTAACAAAGTATATTATAATTTATTCGTATAGTTCTAATGATAATTCTAATTTAAAATAATGTCCAATAATAATAAAATAAATGCACTCAATTAGTCACCGGCGGGCTTTAGGTCGGTAGCGGTCGTGAAATATGCCAAATAGCTTTTTAATTCTTACATAACTCACTATTAACACATAGTTTAATTTGACATTTTACGAGCTTGATGCCTGTGGTCGCAATAAAAACTTAAAGCTAATGATATACTTACAATGTTGCTTTACGAGCTTGTATGTTGTTAAATGTCCAAGTTGCAGCTAAAATAGACTGATGAAAATATGATTTAGTCTATCATAAGTAAAGTTTAGGTGCCCGTTTAGTAAACAGAAAGTAATCAAGCTAAGTACTTAGATTCAAAGTTTTGCCAACATCTATTGGAAGAAGTGAATTGTAGACAAGACAAATGAAGAGAGAAATTCAGTATTAGTTTTATACTACCCTGGGCGAAATTTATATAAGTGCGCTCTTTATTAGCACTCTGGGAAGGGTCAATAGGATTATGAATGTATTTTTGGCAAATCGGTAGCACGCCTTTCGATCTAAGGCCTGGGCGGTTGCCCAACTGCGCCCTACCTTAATGCCAGCCCTTTACGAAGTTATGGAAAGAAGATCGCGTTTGGTCTTAAGACCATCTCTATCATTAAAAAAAAAAACAAAAGCATAATCGGTCTCACAAATCAAACACACTGTAATATTTTATTTTAATTCCCACTGATATTCGTATCAACTTCTTTTCAATAGTCTGTTCTCGATAACGTGTTTTCCTTTTCTCACAGGTTTTGCATACTAAAGGTAATAAAAAAAACGTAGTATTTTTATGAAACATACCAATAATTCCATCGATTACGATACGGTGTATATGCCGCAGTGGGATGCGCGCCTGGTGGTCCCAGACCGCACACTTGACCATTGTTCCGGCGTTCTACCATTTTGTTTTGTAGGCACATAATTAACAGACGCCCAGTGAGATCTCTGTTAGACACGCTCTCTTGTAATAACCCCCGCGATGATATTTTTATTAATGTCAAAATAAATTCGACCGCATTCACACTGTTGCGTAACGAATTTTACGTGGAATGCGCTCGGCGATTCACATTCGAATCGGAATTTTTAAATGATGATTCGTTTCTTTGGTCAATTAATGATTTGATGAATGATTATTAAAAAAAATGTATCGTTTATACATGTTTTATATAAGCATATCTGTTTACATGTGAAAGAAAGAAATAATCTATTTTAAAGTTCCAATAAATAGAAAAAAAGGGTTTATGTTAAAATTCATTTTAGCTACAACTTACCAACAACAAAATAAAACTTTTAATTTTACTTAATATGAAAAAAAAACTAAGTCGCAAACTACATTACGGTGTGATAGCGGGTCACTATCCCGGGACCATAAAAGATCTCCCATCTCGGAGCCGAACAAGAAATTAGGTACCGCATTAGAGTCGAGGTGATAATTACGTTACAAAAAAATCGATTCGATGAGTTAATATTTTGTTACGTCCAGACGAATGCTCGATATCGATTTAGTATCAATGCTTTGTATAGTATTTTTTATTTCGATTA